TGTTAAAGGATGTTTTCTGAAACTCTCTCTTATTCAACTTTTTAAAACCCTAGTTTGTATCATCTAAACTTATTTAGAAAAATCAACATTTTTAAAAGTGTGTATAATTTGGATATAGAAATTTTAAAAGTCTTCATTCATATTTTTTTGTTTGAATTGGTGAGATGACCCAATTGCAAAGGGAAATTTTTTCATAAAAATTTAAACCACCCTGAAAAGATGGAAAATTCTCTTTTTCCTATTCTGAACCAGTTCATCTGACCTGTATGACCATCACCACTGTTTTCTCCACTGTGAAAATAGCACTTTTTAGGATTTGCTTTGTTTCAATAATTGTGCTAGTTACTCATGCTAAAAATGTCAGTCATCTGAGTTTTCTTCTCCTTTCTTCTCTCTGATTGGATTTAATTAACTGTCAAGTACTATAGTGTCTAGCTCAGCAATATCCATGAGATTTATTCTACTGTATTAACTCTTAGACAATATTTAGGTTACCTTATTTCAAGCTCCCAATATTCCTCATCTGGATTGCAGAAATCTTTTCCTGTGTCTGCTTTCAGCTCCCATTTATACCCACTGTCTTGGTTTGTTTGGCTGCTATAACAAAATACTGTAAACTATGTAACTTATAAACAACAAAAATTTATTTCTCAAAGTTTTGGAGTGGGGCAAGTTCAAGATCAAGGTGCCAGCAGAATTGGTGGCTGGTTGCATCCTGCTTTCTGCTCTGTAGATGATGTTTTTAGCTGTATCCTCACATGGTGGAAGGAATGGAAGAACTCCCTTGGGCCCACTTTATAAGGGCAGTAATCTTGTTCATTAGGGTGAAGTTAATGAACCTAATCACAGTCATGTCCTAATCACCTCCCCAAAGACCCCATTTCTAATGCCATTACCTTGAGGATTAAGATTTCAACATACAAATTTGGGGGAGACATAAACATTCAGACCACAGCACCTACTTCCAAATCTCTTTTGCATTAAGGCCAGAGCAATATTACTAGAACCCAGTGTTAATGATGTAAAACACAATTCTCTCCTTCATATATACTTCCTTAAAGCTTCATCATTGTTGACAAAATTTGGTCCAAATTCCTTAGTTTGTCAGAGCCTGGAATGATATGATCCTTCCCTGTGAGTCCCATCCTCATCTTCTACCACAGTCTGCATGGACCTTCTGCTTTTGCTCTAGCTATTTCATTTACCTGGAGTCATTTCCTGAATCTCCCCATCTCTCACTCCTGCCTTGTATGTCTCTGTTTAATAATGTTTCTTCTGTGATTGTTGACTTTCTTATCTTTTGAGTTCCTCAAATTTTTAATCTACCAAGCCAAAATTTGCATGCATTGATTTATGAATTATTCAAGTACATTTACAGTATTTAACACAATACATGACAAAGAATAAAAGTTCAATACAATTTTTAAATAAATAAGTGAAAGGGTACTTAAGTGGCTTAAATGTGCTTAAAATTTATTTCTGTAGATAGTTGAGTCCAGAACAGTGTGTTCTACTTGAATACTTACAGGAAGTCAGTCAAAGCAAATATCTTGCTCTCTGAATTAATTTACTCAAGCTCTGTAAAACATATCTAAATCATAGGAATTTGGAGTATCTTAACTCTTAGATAATATTTAAGCTTGTTTTTCTAAGAAAAATTATTATAGAAAGTGCTTTTAGAGATTTATACTGTGATAGTAACGGGGAGGTTATATGTGTTATTTCCTTCTCACCCATGTTATAGGAAACTGCTAAAAAAGAAAAATGTATATACTTAGCATTTTCTAGATAAGAAAAATTCTTTTTAAATATTTTTATAATAAATTACCACTGCCAGATGGCTCTCAAATAATTATAGGAATAATAAAACGGACCCCTGTGTAACAGGAATCAAAGTTTAGTGAAAGTCTGGATGTCTAGAAGATTTTTCTAGATTATAGTAACAAGTCACACAAGCAGTCAGCATGTCTGGTTACTGCCTTTGCCCCAAATAGTTCAACTTGTGGAATTAGGTCTTACACACAAATCCTGAAATCCTAGGGGCCTAGAGGAATTCATAATGATGGATTGCTGTCTGTTGAGCCCAAGACAGTGGTGTGCCTTTGCCTTTTTAGGATATTATCCAACAGCTCAGGTGATTGACTCCTTTGTTTAATCCTTTAGCTATAAAAATACCTTATTCTTTTTTCCTATCTCACCAAACCAAATTTAGTGTTCATTAACCCAAGGTTCTTAAAGCAGAGGCTATTTTAAAAATATAGCACCACATGTACTCACCAGCAAATTGGTATTAACAGATCAACACCTAAGTGGACACATAGGAGTAACGTATATTGGGTGTCAGGAGGGCGGGAGGGGGGAGGAAGGGAGGGGTATATGCAACCACAACGAGTAAGATGTGCAACGTTTGGGGGATGGACATGCTTGAAGCTCTTACTGGGGAGGGGGCATGGGCAATATAAGTAACCTTAACACTTGTACCCCCATAATATGCTAAAATAAAAAAATAAAAATAAATAAAAAATATATATTATTATAGGGCCTGTAGACAAAGAGGAAGAATTGACACTTATTTACATCCCTTTTGAATTACTCATTTTGATCAGAAGGCAGGATGCTATGATGGTGTCAGGGTAGACATGGCTAGAGTTAAAACTGATGCCAGTCATGCCTTGGACTGTAGCACCCCTGAGTCATAGTGTTTCTTCTGTTGAGCCTCTTTCTGCACTAAATGGTTCAAGAATGAACAACAACAAAAAGCCAGTGAGGTTCTTCAGGTCTGAGAATATCATTGAGTGAGCAAGAATATTTTAGTGGTACTCACCTAGAAACAACTGTTGCCTCCTTCACGTTCATTGTTGCTTTTGGGCAGAAAAGCAATTAAAAATACTCAATCCTAAACCTGACTTGTTAGAAGTTGGGGCCTTTGTATTAGCTCAATTGCTTTATCTATTTGAGGAAATCAAAGATTAGCAAAATAAAAATTATAAGATGTAAAGCAGTACCTACTGATAAGTATGTGAGTTTAGATAGCTCTTTTTTCAAAAGAATACATTCCAAATATAAATATTCCTTATTTTCTCATAAGCTTCATTGCCCTATGCTGCATGTGAAATCATCTAACAATATGAACCAACTTCATTTTCCACCAACGTCAAATAATGTCCTCATTTCCAGTTTGGTTATGCCTTTAATTGGCTAGACAAGCCCAGGGCAGTCATTTAATTTCTTTTACTCTGTTTATGCAATTGTAACTAAAGGGGTCTCCAAAACGTTGAGATTCCCAATGTTGGGAGCAAGCTCCCATTTCACATCCAGCCTAATCTGACAGTTTAGTTTAAAGAGGACACAGGATCTGATTTTAACTGTATGTCTGGAGTGTCATTGAGAGACCCAAGAGGCAGCATGTTGTGGGGAAGTTAGTTCTAGAACTAAGTGCATCCCAGTGATACTGTCATAGTCGTTGCCTTCATAATGCCCACAGCACTGTATTCGATCTTTGAGCAAGGGTTTTCCAGTTTATAAAGAACCTAATCTAAGACCAATCTATTCTGTATAGATTGGAAACTCTCTCAGGAAACTGACTTTTGGGGCCACTAAAGTCCCATCTTTCCCACTGCAGAGAGCTCATTTTGTTTTATACATACCACCAAGGCACTCTGACTTACACAACACATGTCAAGGTTTGCCAAGAGGAGCCCTAGCCACTGATGCTTCTTTTATAGCAGCGTTAACAGACACTTTCTCTGAAGAAGAACTCGGCCTGGGAGGCTTATGTAGCCAGCTGGCTCTCTGAAGGCTCCCAGCCTCCCACTCCTGTAAAAAATTTGATTTAACCCAAAGTATTTCCCCTCCTATAGACAACTGAAGTAAGACTTAATTTGAAATCAATCTGATACTGTATAACCAACTGCTTTGATTAATCATGGCTATTATTTGAGACTTGGAGTTTATTATAGTGCTGGAATAAAGCACATTTTAAAAGGGATAATAAAAATAAAACTTCCACATGGCTGGGGTTTAAATGAAAAGCACTTGATTTTTAGTTGCAGGAAATATCTCAACATAACACAACTTAACAGCAACAATGCCTGCCACTGGGGGATATTCACGAGTTAACTTTGAAAAGTCCCAGTTATTGGGCTTCTGATTTCCTAAAACATGTCCCTGTCCCTTTTTCTTTTTTGTGCCTTTGCAACACTGCAAAAGCTTAATCTTTGCCCAGCACCCCCCCATGTTTTTTCACTTCACACTAAAAATAAGATCTTTATCTCTATATTAGAAATAGTGAGATACTCATCTCTCTTGCCTTGGCTATTCCATCTTTCTAGAGGAAAAGCAACCACCCAATTATACACAGCCATAAATTAACTTGACAAGCAGCTTGCTGGAATCACCACCCTAGTCCAAGCTGTTTAAATTGTTTCTACGTTTGGAGTCTCTTCTTTGGGAAAGAGCATTACACGCCCCAGTGGAAACTGTTTTGTTTGTGTTTCCAGACTTACCAACAATGCACTCTGTGAAGCAGGTTCAGTAGTTACGTACTTCCCTTTCTTGGTGGACTTATGCAAACGAAATTCCCTATGCCCCTTCCTATGAACATACCCCCAGCAAGAAGTCTGAGTTCACTGGTGGTCCATTCATCGTCCTCTGCCGAAGGCCTTGGGACCTCCAGTCTTAGAGGCCACAAACTTCACAGCTTTATAATTTGGAAATGTCCCCCACCCCTTCTCCCTAGTCTCCATGCTGCCCTTTCACTGTGAGTATTATTCTGATCTCTGTTGTGATATCCACAGAGGTCATTCCGGGAATGTAACCTATAAATTGATAACTTAATACATCTGGGGGAAGTGAAAATGTGATTGCCTTTGAGTATGCCTCAAGCTGTGTTAAGCTTATTGTTTACTTGTTCTCCTAATTAACAGAAAGTGTAGCATGCAAAATATTTACACTTACTTTACAGTGAGAATTTACATTCATGGTGTAATATACATAATGATATATTTAATAGATTTTAAGATAAACCAAAGTAGATTTTTATGCTTATCTTATGGTCAGAAAGGCCAGTTCTTCAACTCCTCTCATTGCAGCCTCGTTTTAGATGTCTGTCCCAGTGGTTGCTAAAATAGGCTCTAAAATGGGAGAGGTGAGAAAACAAGCCATTGTGTGATGTCTGGACGGATTTATTTCTGTTTCTCCTACTTTTCACCTCAACTCTGTAATTTTAGATAGCTATTCAGTCCTTCTTCAGTTTAGATGGACTGTAAGAGGATGGAGGGAGAGCTTTCCTTCTCAGCTCCTTTGAGGCTGTGTTAGTGGTGGGAATTGCCCTCAGAAACTGCTTGCTCTGCTGTGAGAGCCCACAACCATGTCCCAGCTGTCTTTCCCTTTTCTTCCTCCTCCTCCTCCTGGTCAATTACAAATGCTTCCTCCTTGCCTGGCACAACAATTCATCAGCATTGCCTCTTACTTTTTATTCTTTTCCTTATTATCTAATTTTCAATTCTGCAACTTTTTTTTTTGGAACTTATAATTTCTTGTCATCATGGCACAAGGTCCTTAGCAAAGCTCCATGCAATAGAGGTTTATCGTCTACAAAAATCATCCTACCATTATAGGATGAATATGAAATAGTTTACAGATGACTGTTAGAAAGACTAGTTTAAAACCCTCTATCAATATGAATGTGTTTTACCTAAAGGGAGCTTTGATAAATTTTCTGAGAACACTTAGTTTTTGCCTTTCTCCTATTGAAAAAAACTGAGTAATTCTTAGCTTTCTTCCCTTCCTAAATTAAGAGCTTCTGTGTCAAGTATCTCAATGTATCTATGACTCATCTCCCTTCCCAGTGCCTGATTTTTTTTTTCCATCTTAAATATCTGTGTGGAGGAAAAGTTTGTTTCTTGAATGGTTGTAACATCCTGGAATTCTAAAGTACAGTTGGCATCAAATCCTTGGTTAGTCTTCAATTCCGAGTCCAAAAATAAATAGCTATACACCTGCCCAAATTCAAACGATAGCTATCATTCAATTAGTATTTCTTTGGAGAAGGAAATTATGGCTCAAAACAGAATGAAACAATGAAAAAGCCACCAAATAGCTAACTTAGGACAGGTCTACTTGCTTCCCCAGACACAGGTCAAGACAGTCCCAGGTGGGGCCTCTGCAGATGGTGCCTAGTTGAAAGCACACACATCCAGCCCAGGTGAATGTGGGGTCCTTTACAGGGCTCCTCTTTTCCCTTGTTGTCCTAGGTCTCCTACTCCAAGCTCCTGATATTTTCTGCTTTCCTCATTCCCACTCTCCTATCAAAACAGGAAAATGATTAATATCATTCATTTACCCTTGACTGATTTGACATTTTACCCAAAACTTTTTTACCCTCCAGACATGCATTTTCTGGTGTAGCCTCTTCTCTCTAATTTTGGACGATGGACTGCCCTCGCCCCCCACTTTATCAAAGGAATTTCAGGCATCAGCAAAGAGATTTATTTTGTTTTCCTCGCTCAGGGATAGTCCAAAGAGGTCCCTGAAATCACTCAACAGCTGGCTCTGCAGAAACATCTAATTTTGTTTTTATAGGGTTTTCTAGATGGTGATAAATAAGTTAGAGGAGCTGATCTTGGTCGCTGATCAGATATCTTCAGAAATCTGGAGAGATGGTGGGGGCAGGATGGAGGGGTCGGGAACACTGATTCAACAGGAATGGTTAGGGGGGAAGCTGACCCCTATCACCTTGAACATCACCTGGAAGAACTATCTGTTCCTAATCTCTTGCTAAATATTTGTTGATGTAAATCAGTATTTGTGCAAATCATAGACCTCTCTCTTCATTTCTTTCTGCAGATTCAGGCTCTACCCTACGCTGCTCTTTTAAAAATCTTTTTCCTTATCATCTTGGTCTTTTTCCCTGAGTGAAAACAATATATATTAACTGTAGTTCTAAAATACGTCTGTATCCATTCTCTATAATTTGTACCTGTGGTACAAATGCTTCCAACAAGGATAAGCTTTATTGTTAACATTGACTAATCATAACAATAGTATTTAAAGTAATAATTATTATTTTAGTTATTCTTTACTGAAACCTTATTATAGGCCAGGTATTCTACTAAGTAGTTAATGTGTGCTATTCGTTTCTCACAAGTAATTATACAAATTAAATATTATGTCTAGAGTACTTTAGCTCAGTATTGAGCATGTAGTAATACTAAAAATGTTAGTTCATAAATTATCATTTTAATCATTATAAAGTTAAAAACTACAATGAGTATTATTTATCCATTTGGCCCTTACACTATCCCTATGCAGAAGAAATCATTGTCACTCCACTTTAGAGGTGAGGATACAATGATACACATCAGTAAAGGGAGCAGGAAATTGAGGCTGTACACTCTGAACTCAGAGCCTGCGTTTGCACAAATGTAATAGTTAAAATTGTGTGCATATAATTTTCTGACACCCTTGTTTTTATATAATATATTTCAATATCACCCTTATATATGCTTTTTTGTTTCTATCTCCATAAGTGAAACTTCTGAAGAGCATAAAATGCTATTGAGACACCTACTAAAGTTTTTTTTTAAATGTTCCATTACAAATGTGCTCAGTTCAAATTTGAGATCACTGTATACTGGCATTGCTAGAAATTTTGCTACTGAACATACCACTGTATAAAGTTCATTGTCATGTGTTCCCCTTTCCTTCTGCCCAGTTAGCTCTTTTACCTCCTTTTCTCTCTCCAAGGAAGAAAACCCATAAAGGTAAATTCTCTCCAGAAAGCAATCAGAGCAGAAAGAGAACTTCAAGCCCAGGGGTATTTTCATGGCAAAGAGAATTGACATGAGGGGTGCTGGTTATAAAAGACTAAATAAGCTGACCTAGAATAGAAGGAAGGCCACGGTATACAGGTGGAGTTGGGGAGAGAGGTCCATAGAGGCAGAGGATGGGGAGACTCTTGAGACTTTTGTGGAGGGGGAAATTGCTAAGTGAATTGCTAAGGAGCTAACTCAGTTCTTGTTTTACTTTAAATGTTTGAGGAAGTTGTGAGAAGAGAATATGATCATGTTTGGGCCATATAAGTTTAAATGTGGCATAGCCTGAACCAGGAATGGATTCAAGTATGCATGTGGGTGAGTCTTGGGAGATGTTATAGATCTATAAGTACTATAGACATAAAAATGTATTCAGAAATATAAATGAAAACTTATTTAGGAATATTATAAACCAAGTGTCTTATAAAACTATATAAGATCAGTTACAGCAGCGTAAAATATAGTGTCAGAAAGGGGTAATGATTAAATTCCAGTGGGTCCTTCTACTCAATTAGACGTTGGTGTAGGCTTAAAGAATTGATGTATATAAAGTACCTAATATATTGCCTGGAATATAGTATGTGTTATTATATTAGCAATATCTATTAACAATAGATATTAACTTGAATTATTTATTGTTATATAATGCCTAATAGGCATCCAATACATATTTGAGGAGTCTTCACAAGGGAACTTAATTAAGCTCATAGAATGATATATTTATTAGTGATATTTAACTAATACTTCATTTCCCACCAGTTGCTCAAGGTTCTCTAAATTTCTGTCCTCTACACACTCAGTTCTTTTACTCCAGGATCAAAGCACTTATTTACATGTGTTCAATATAGATTTTACAGGATGCTTCCCAGAGAAATATTTTTTTAAAAAATTCGAGTTTCTAAAGTTTCACCCTGGGAATTTTTTTGACCTTGAGACTGGTTCTGTAGAAAGAGAATACAATAGCTTCAGAAATGTTTACCCTTTCCTATTGATCACTTCAAGAAATACCTGTGGAAAGTTACTACCTGAGAAACTGAGATAGGTATGCAGCTTTTCCTCAGCCCCCTGACTTTCTCTAGGGGTGAGGGAAACTTGAGTAGGGGCATTGAGTCATTCCTAGGGCTCATCTTGGACAATAAAATTTGGCACAGGCCTGAGCCCCAGAGTAATCAATATACTCCACATAAGAAGGTTTCCATCATACATAGCCAGGAGCAGAATCCAAACCAATTGGCTTTACTTAGAGCCTTTGGCTACCCAATACATTTTGGAGTCCATAGTTATTTTTTTCTAAGACGTTATGGGAGGAGAACTTCAGAGATCCTTAGGTTTGTTCCTGAGCATCTAAGGAGAAACCAGCCTTTCTTGCACTTTACTTGTGTCTGCCACCATTCATAGGAATCTACACATGACGGTTGGCAGGAATTATCCTTTCGTAGATCTTAGATCAAATTTGTCTATTTCAGAGATACGGGAAGGAGATTCCAAAGTATGGTTTGCACATTGTAACTTAGACATCCAAAGGTTTAAATAAGAGATGTTAATAATCCTTCAAAATGTGATGTTGCTCGCAATGGAAACTACTTAAAATGCATTTACATTCATTTAAAATAATTTTTGTTAGTTAACTACTCATATAGTATAATCATTTTGGTCATGGTTAAAATGATCAATATACTTATTAACCTCTTTGATAAATCAATACTTACCTATTGTGGGCAGTTGAATTCATAAATATTTGATCCTATTGAGAAATGACATTCATAATAAATTAAATCTAACATAATAAGGAAAATTTCTTAATTAGAAATACAGACAGTCCCTGGGTTATGGATGACCCAACTTATGACATTCTATACTCACTAATGGGCTCCTAAGGCTCCCCATAAGGATAATTTATAATTAAGTAATTAAGCAAATAATTCAGGAACTAGTTTTTTCCATACATGTAAACAAACCTGCATGGTGTAAATGCTTCATTGGCACAGCATATTCATGCTAGTGGCTAGTCCATAAATAGATGGAGAAGCAGCTAATAGAAACACAAGAATCCAAAGAATCAGAAGATCTAGAGCCAAGAAAGTTTATGACAAAAGTATTAGCTGAAGCCTTTTGTCTCATTGAAGAAGGGTGTGCTAAGCTTGAGGAACAAGATACTATGTTGAGCAGTTTACAAAGGTTTGCCATGCAGTTAGAGAGAATATCACATGCTACAAGGTCATCTATGATGAAAGAAAGAAAAAGGCTGTTCAAACAACCCTAGATACCCTTTTTTCAAGGAACCTACTTCAGCAAAAAGCTCCCCTCTTCCAGTAACAGAATCAAATCCTGTTTCTCCAGCACCCACTCCATCCTCTCCAGCACCGTCTCCATCATCATCTTCCAATTAATGTGAGCTTATCTTCTTACCTCCAAAATGCCACTTCCAGTAAGCATGACATTGATGCAGCATTAGGTATTACCCTTTAATGTTCTTTTTCAAATTTCTCCTTCTTCCTATCTAAACATCTTGTATGAATTTGTTTCTATCTTCTGTTTGTCTGAATTAAAAGAAAAAGGACAATAGTTTCTGTGACTTATTATTACAGTACAGGGGTATTATTGTTATTTGTATAGTATTACACTACATTATTACCACATAAGAGCCATTAGATTATTATTATTACCACATATGCACTGTTCATCAGGGATCCAAGTGATATACAAATCTAACCTAAACACATTCTCAGGAACCGATCTTATCTGTAACCCAGGGACTACCTGTATATTAAACCAATAGTATCTCAGCCAAGTTATATAAACTACAAGTAACAAAACTCCTTCAAAGCAGCTTAAGAACAAGAGTCCTGGGACAGGAATACAGAAATACATCTAAGTCTCACAAGGAATGAAAGCCATCGGAATCTCAGGTAATATTCTCTCTTACTTTCTATACTTTAAGAAAATGCCTCTTGGGCTTGTAAAAAATGAAAGCCCTGAAGCTGTGCCTAAGAGCATAGGGTCATACAAAAAAAAAAAATGTGGAAACGGAGGACCCATTCCTGCCATTGAACAAAAGGATAGAGAAAGGTACCAACATTTATATGTAACCACAATGGAAAACAAACAACAAAAGAAGAACCCAAAGATTCTGTTCTAACTTTATTAAGTATAAATATATATAGGTAAGTTTGAATGATTTTAAAAGATAATCTAGCTCATATCCTAATAACTGAATTGGATATTTTGCATTTATGAGAAAGAGATGATAAAATCATAGCCCATTAGAAGTGGAAGTAGGTTTAAAAATATTCTAGCCTGTTTCCCTCACTTGACAAAAGAGGAAAGAAAGGCTCAATTAAATAGAGGACATGCCCATGTTCACACAGCTCATTAGCTGTAAAGCCAGAATTAAAAGCTGGTTCTCTTGAATCCTGCAGAGTATGAGTGTACTGATGCCTTTGAAGCATTGGCCCAGAAGTCTGGTATCACATTTACTTGCTTGGTTTGCTTTTTGGAGATAATCCAGACCTGGTTATAAACAAGAATTGCTCTTTAATTGGACTGTTTTTTTAAGCCTGTTGCCTTAAAAAATGTCCTTTCATGGTTCCCTGGCAATCTATTGGTAAGAAACATCCTTCCTTTTACATCCCCTGTGTTTGATATCTCCATATATACTGGATTGAATTGTGTCTCCTCATCCACCCAAATTTATATCTACCCAGAGCCTGGGAATATTATCTTGTTAGGAAATAAGGTATTTGCAGATGTAATTATGATGAAGTCAGACTGGATAAGAGTGGGCCCTGAATCCAATATAACTGGAGTCCTTATAAGAAGAAGAAAATTTGGACAAAGACACAGACACACTGAGAACACCATGTGGCAATAGAAGCAGAGATTAGGGTGGTGTGTTTATAAGCCAAAGAACAAATGCCAAGGATTAAGCACAACCATCAGAAACTAGGAGAGAAGCATTAAACAGATTCCTCAAAGGAGCCAAGCTTGCTGACTCCTTGATTTCAGATTTCTAGTCTTCAGGACTAGAATAAAATTTCTTAATTTTAATTAGTTCCTGAAATAATAAATTTCTGTTATTTTAAACTACCTTGTTTGTAATAATTTGTGGTAGCAGCTATAAGAAACTAAGAAACCATGTATATGAATAATTTTCCTGTAGACTGATATTTGGAATTTGTGCAAAATAAACAATAGGACAACTTAGCATTAAATGTGGATGTGTGCAAAGCAGTCCTCTGAATTTTCTTAAGCAGATCTTCTTTGCCCTTAAGCCTTTTATACCCTTCACAAGCACTCTGTTTAGAATAACAGGAAATGTGGAAAAGCTTTGAAATGGACCAAAAAGATTACTATGTGTCTTCAGTAGAAACCTAAAATTGTCTAAGGCACCTTTCCAAGTTATCTCTTCCTTTCATTTTACAACTTGTAAGTTGTAGGAAGCTGATACTAATGCAAATGATTCTTGTGCATAGAAATGCAAATGAATTATATTCAGGTAGTGCAAGTGTCTAGTTTTCCATCATCTATTTGTAAATTTATTCAGAATTCCTGATGGCCTATGTATATATGATTTTTAAATTAATTAATTAATTTATTTTTAATTTTTTTTTATTTCAGCATATTATAGGGACACAGATGTTTAAGTTACATATATTGTCCTTGCACCACCCAAGTCAGAGCTTCAAGCATGTCCATCCCCCAGATGGTGTGCACTGCACCCATTAGGTGTGTATATATCCACTCCCTCTTTCCCCCTCCCATCTGCCCAACACCTGATGAATACTATTACTATATGTGCACTTAAGTGTTGATCAGTTAATACCAATTTGATGGTGAGTACATGTGGTGCTTGTTTTTCCATTCTTGTGATACTTCACTTAGTAGAATGGGCTCCAGCTCTATCCAGGATAATACAAGAGGTGCTAGATCACCATTGATTTTTGTGGCTGAGTAGAACTTCATGGTATACATATATCACATTTTATTAATCCATTTGTATGTTAATGGACACTTCTTTGCAATTGTGAATTGTGCTGCTATAAACATTCTAGTGCAGATGTCTTTTCTATAGAATGCCTTTTGTACTTTTGGGTAGCTGCTCAGTAATGGGATTGCTGGATCAAATGATAGTTCTACTTGTATCTCTTTGAGGTATCTCCATATTGCTTTCCACAGAGAATGTATTAGTTTGCAGTCCCACCAGCAGTGTAGGAGTGTTACTATCTCTCTGCAATGATGCCAAAATTTATTGTTTTGGGGCTTTTTGATAAAGGCCATTTTCACTGGGGATGGTGGTATCTCATTGTGGTTTTGATTTCCATTTCTCTGAAGATTAGAGATGTTGAGCCTTTTTTCATATGTTTGTTAGCCTTTAGTCTGTCTTCTTTTGAAAAGTTTCTGTTCATGTCTTTTGCCTGCTTTTTGATAGGGCTGTTTGAGTTTTTCTTACTGATTTTACTGAGTTCTATATAGATTGTAGTTATCAGCCCTTTATCGGATGTGCAACCTGTGAACATTTTCTCCCATTCCATTTGACTCCTCCTTTGAAGTGATCATAACATCTTACTGGTTCCCTTGCTAATTAATGAATTAAACAAAATATTTGATTTATGCTCATTTTATATTTGCATAATAGTCATGAATTTGCTCTTTGTAAAAATATATTTTTTAATGAGAACGTAGTATGAATTCACAAAATAATTATTAATTTTAATAACCTTCCTCAGAACTTAAAGGAAAGAATCACAATGGCAAAATTTCCATATCTTTTTACCCTATGTTGAAGGCCTTTCTATATTTCCGAAAGCATTTATACAACATCTTAGTTCCTATTTTATCAATTGTTATCTATTATGGATGACAAAAAGAATAGAAAAAAATCTTCAGAGAAGTACTCAAAAATATTAGTCAAAATACTGTCCTTAGTCTCTTGCGCAGTGCCAGTCCACAGAACAAAATTAAAATTTATTCTTTGTTTCCTATCAATATGTTGGTTAAAAAACCAGCTTCCAAGATCTAACATAACCCCAAGATAAGTTGACAACAGGAACTTAATCTAATGTTCAAAGCTTGTCCAGTGTTGTGAAATAGCTTTGAAAGGATAATTAATACTGCTCTTTAAGTTCTTAAAAACTAGGATGAGGATCACACTAGCATGAAAACTGATGTAGCGCTCAAGTCATATCTGCACAGCAATCTCATGTCCAACTGGGACAAGAGAAACAGGAGTATTCAGAGGACTTGGGGGAAAAGGCAGCACACCAGATGTGTCCTGGGCAGAATGGAGTCTATTTTGTAGAACATAAGGAGAAGTAATGACCCATAAAAACTCCTGGTTACTACTCTAACACAAGAGGGGACTGGAAAAGAGACATAGCACATTTCCTTGCTGCCTGGGCTACCCCAGAGTTTTGTGGGGTTTTTTATAGGTTCTTCACATGCTGAGCTGCAGTATCAAGAGTCTGGCTTGGAAATTGACTCAATTATTAGGCCCTGGATACGTTTGGCACTTAAGTTTCTTTTTATTCTTCTTATATAATTTGTCTTTTTTTTCTTTCTAATACAACAGACCCAGAGCATAATGACTTAGGATGGGAAATAGCCCACCCTTGTATAGTCATTTTTCTAACATGATTGAGTTTAGTTTCACATCTTATGTCTTTCAGTCCCTGCTGACTTTGATACTCAGTTCAAAGTGCACTGTTTCTTCACTGACATGAGGACCTAGGATATTTGCAGCTCCTCTGGAGAATCCTGCCTGCTCCCATATCCTCAGCTTGCACCATCTTTGTCTTTCACAGCTCGTCAGGTGGCTGAAATTTTCACAGCTTGTTAGGTGGCTCTGGCTTTCATTGTCTGTGGCCCTGAATGACTGCTAGGGGAACAGCATTCTCACTCCCTCCCAAAGCCAAGCTTCACAGTGGAAATGTGTGAGTTGTGCCAGTTGCCTCCCAGAAATCCCACGGTCCTGGCAGATGCAAGTTAGCTCAGCATGGTGATGAGATTTCTTCCAGATTGGGAATTGATGTCCCAAACAGAAAGTGAATTGTACTGACTTCATTCTCAAGTAAGTTGTTGTGACAAAGGGAAATCAGAGCAATACCATATAAAATAGTTGGCAAAAATAAACAGTAAACAGCATTGTATGTGACATATTGGTCCCTGTATGTCTTTTTTCTTTTAATAGCTGTTAATCTGACCAAGATGGTAAAATGTATTTAATAGAGGTTTCCTGTGATATAGCACTATTTTCAGGAGCCAGGGAAAAAGTAGCATTTTATCAGGAAGAAGGTAATAAGCAGGAATTGAAATGTTTTCATTTGGATCCTAAGTGGTGCCTGAGGTAAAATTGCACAATGTTAAAGCAACAATAATTGGTTCCTCCTGGCTTTCCCCATTGAAGGAAATTGAAATTCAATTGACTTTCAATGGAATAGTCATGGAGTTCCAATTGTCATTGCTCTGACTTTGTGCTTGTCTATCCCAAGAATGGTATGGGAGCCAAAAAAGAAAAAAGTCCTGAAACAGCTGGGGAAATAGT